TGGCTTAGACTGCAAGCTTTAGAGAGCCAGGGCTGCATTTAAGTTGTCTTAACGACATGAGAGAGAGATTCCCGTAAAGATGGATATTTAATAAATGTGTTTTTTGATCTTGAAGAGGAAAAAGAAGAAAATCTGTCTCTTTTTCTTTATGGCTTCTCCCTCTAGTGTCTCACCTTCTATTAGATTTAACACTGGAGCTGGAAAATGAGCCCCGTCCCTTGAAGCAGTCCATCTCTGCTGATGACAATAAACCCGTGTGGTAATGATGGTTTTGCAATGGGTCCCTTCACAGGGGCTGCTCACTGCTGCTCAGAGGCAGGGAAGAAGCAGTCACTAGAGTGGGCAGACCTCAACATTATCCTAGTCTATACCCAGAGAGAAAAGGGGCTTGGCTCTTGGCTGCCCCATTTAGGAAGCTGCATCCAGGGTAACAGTGCATGAACATGCCCCTTTCTTGCCTTTTTGGCTCTGAAATGACTCTTGAGTATCATGTCCTCTTTTTTCCAAGACCGTCGGTAACCCGTTGCAGAGGCAGTGACTAGTGTTGGCATTGCTGTAGAAGGGAACATCATGATGGGCAAAGCTTTAGACACTGACTGTCTTGAGGCCATGGGCATGCCAGAGTCTGTGTGAGTGTCCTCCTGTCCTCTTTCTGGTTTCCTGATGGCCAAACTCTTCAGGTGGCTGGGCCATGCCAAAGAAGCAAGAATCCTGCAGAGCAACGCTCCATGCCATTGCAGGAGGCATGCAGACTCGAGAGATGCACAGGGTAAGGTTGATTTGCCAGGAAGCTTTCTCCCCAGCATTTCATCCAACAGCCTGTGTTAAGGCACCAGCAAGTGAGCCCCACATTGCTAAGCGCAATGGTCAGTTTCCAGTCACAGCAGCAACACTCACACCCCTTCCTTTGCATTCCCTCCTGTCTCTCTGACCGTGCCTTTAGGAGTCCTGTTTGCTGGTTCTTTCCCTTTACCCCAATCTCCAAACATCAGTAGGGCTAGGACTCAGTTCTGGGACCGCATCTCACTTCTGTCTACACTCACACCCCAGTGATCTCATCCAGAGATCCAGGGGATAAGTATCTTCTATATGTTGTTGACTCAAAATTACAGTTCAGCCACAGATCTCTCTCCTGGAGAGGTTCATTCACTATTACATACTCAACATTTCCACTTGGATGTCTAATAGGCACTTCAAACTTCAGGGTCTGAGATGGCTTTCCTGATCCTCCTGCCCTGACACCCGTTCCTCTCCCAGACTTCCCCATATCCATAAATGACAGTTCCACTCTTGGTATCATTTAGAACAATTGCCTTGGAAAATGCCTGACCTCTCTCTCTCACATCCCATATCTGATGCGTCTGCAAATGACATCGTCCTGAAGTCTGACCTTATCACTTCCACGGGTGTCAAGACCAGGCCCAGCATCTCCTGAGGCAGCAGGCACCTGACGGGACCCCTGCCTCCCCCTGGCCCACCTTCACTCCATTCTGCACATGGCAGGCAGACGGACCCTGGTGAGGGTCTGTCAGATCGTGTTGCTTCTCTGCTCAAACCCCTCCAGAGGCTCTTTGGCTCACTCTCAGTAAGAGCCAAGTTCTCACAACAGTTTATATACCCTACTCCCTGGATCCCACAGCCTCACCTCACACCACTCACCCCCTTGCTCCCTCCTCTCCAGCTCCCCAAGCCTCCTCAGCTCCGGATTCATCAGTGTGGCCCCCGTCTCATTGGCCCCTTCTTGCTAACCCCTAGAAGGCTATTTCCCAACTATCTGCAGGGTGCCTTTCCTTGCAGCCTCCAAGTCTTTATTCCAATGCCGCCTTCTCCATGAGACATTCCTTGGCTGCCCCTCTGAAAACACAACCTCTCAACACTCTTCCCCCTTCACTGCTTCGCCCCTCTCTGGCGTGCTATTTAATTTACCATCTGTCTCTCTACTAGAATCTAAGTTCCACGAGGGCAGGGATTTTTGACTCCCGTGTTGACTGCTCTATCACCAGTGTCTACAACAGTGCCTGGCAGAGAGCAGACCTTTCATTTGTGAGTGGGTGGACTAATGAATGAATGAACTGGAACATATTTTTGCATATAACTTACTGGCCACTTCACTTACTCTAATATTTAGAGAAAAGCCTCCCAACTGCATGCTTTCTTTCTGTTGTCCTTCCAGCCCATTTCTTCTACTTCCTTGGTGGCTTTTGCAGCTTTCCCTAAGAAAACAGAATCCCTGGGCTCCCCTCAGGTATGCTGTGTGTCACCAAGCAGCTCCTGCGCTGCACCCAGCCCCACCTCCCTAGCCTCACACCATGGGAATACGGATGCTGCCCGGGGAGAAGCAGAGTCAATATAGCTGCTGATGAAGAGTGATCAGCCTTTTCTCTTAAAAGATGACTTAGCTTTTGAGCTGAAGAGAGTTGGCAAACATACCATACTGTAGTCTTTTAGAAGCTTCAAAGGCTAAGATATTATGGTAATTGAAACACACATGCTTCAAACGTAGCAGGATTTCTCCCCTTGTATTTGTTTCAAAGGGCAATCTACGAAATTCTCAAGACAGGAAGACAGTTTCTGAGCCACTGTCTTGCCTTTTTTGCAAGTGAATTAGGCCTCCGATTCCTTAATCATTTCATCACATCAATTCTACTTTTAATTGGACTTCCCCAACAGACGCAGTCCTTTGGATTCTCTTCCTGGCTCCATTCCTGTCTCTCATGTTCCACTTCATTGCATGTGTCTATCTTACTCTGTACACCTTGCTTTTTAAAATATTCATTCCCCTGCCTCATCCCCTGGAACTGTCCCACTAATTAGCATTTCCACTAACGAAGGAGCCAGGCTCCCATTCCAGTCCTCCCAGGACAAGAAGCAGACCCCCAGGGCTCCTCCAGCCGTAAGGAAGCAGTGCAAGGCGAGAGAATCCAGTCTCCAGAGTCTAAGACCATCCATATCTAGGCTTAGGAAAATCTTGGCGAGACTGTCTATTGGGGTAGGCAGCTCGTTACGCTCTTCTCAAAGTTTGTCAAGAAAGTTGGGTAGATGGGCCTTGTCAATGTGATCTGTTCCAGCTGCAAAGAATACTCCACGCTGGGAACTCTCCTAGGAATTTATTCATTTAATGGGTTAGATGGAGAAGCCGCACACTCTCCCTTGGAAGCTCCTGCTTTAGGCAGAGAACAGAATAGCTATGTTCTGTTATCTCAGTGGACAGCCACTGGCTGCTAAGCATGTAGTGGCTATTGTAGGTTTTCAGTAACACATGCTACAGAAATGCTCACCACCATAAGTCACAAGGGAGGGCCAGTGCTCTGACTTAGGGTGGAGCCAGGAGCCAGCACACAAACTCCTGCATTTTAGAGGTATGCTTCTCCGTGGCTCACAGGCCAACTTGTTTATTTAGCATACCACTCAGTGCCACAAACGAATCCACTACTCCTCAGTTCCATCAACAGTGTAATAGAAGCCGTCAGGCATTTTTCCAGGAAGACCCTCAACGGCATCATGGCTCATTGTTATAACCCATCAAAGGCCCTGTATTCCAACTTGCAAAACCACTTAGCAGAGCACAAAGGCCTCCTTAGGTTACTAAATTATGTTGTTACCAGTCCCTTGTTGTTTGTGTGCTTTAAATTTGTATTTGCTCCTTGAGCAGTGTTATCAGAAAGGGAGCAGTTGATAGATTTATTAAATCTATCTTTGAAATGAGGGAGCAGAGATTCTGCTCCCGTGAACATCTTTGGCTGTCTTTGTCCCTTCTTCCTGCACCTGTTTCTGCTCCTGGCAGCTCTGCTCATCGTCCTCTCTGCTCAGGGTGAAGTTCCAGCTCCCTGCCTTTGTCGGCATGACTCCACGCAGCAAATGCCCTGGACGATTCTTTAACCTGTTTGCTTCCTGGACTACTCTAGATGCTCAGTGTTTAAGAAACTGTTTTTAAGTAAGGCTGCTTGAGAGGACAGAAATGCACCTATTCAAACGTGTAGTGAAAGAGAAAGATATTGCACACAGAAAAAGAAAGAAAGAGTATGGTTAGAGTCACAGAGATCGAGACCAAATGAGATACAGAGAGTGGTCAGAGTTAACCCAAAGGTTCTCAAATTTACTATGCATCTTGATCACCTGGGGGAGTTGTCAAAACACAGATTCCTGGGCCCCATGCCCACAGTTTCTGGGTCAGTAGGTCTGGAGTGGGGCCCAAGAGTTTGCATTTCTAACAAGTTTCCAGGTAATGCTGATGCTGCTGGTCAAGGGCCATGCTTTGAGAACCACTGGGCTAATCTGATAAGAGCCTGAATTTTCATGATCCATCATTTTTTACATATTTGTGAGTCAATGCCATCCATCACTCTCATTTCTATCCCAGCCACAGCCTATCCAACGATGGGCCACGTGAACCCCTGAGGAAGGGATTTGGCTCAATTTCCATCACCTAGTTGGATTCTGCCAAATTCCTCTGGGCTTCCCCCAACGCTCCCACTTACCACTTCCCCAGGTCTTTGAAGCTAACCCCCTTAAGAAAAACCTTTGGCTACCTTTCCTACGAGAAAGCTCAGCAGTGTCTGGAAACCTTCTGCAAAGAGGGGAAGGATACCTGAGCAGGTATAAAGTTTTCCAGGCAGCTGCTTGGCAGACATTGTTCCTTTCAAACAAGCCTGTGCTTTCAAATGGGAAGCCTGGGCCCTGGCCCTAAAAGGTGGAACTTGGAGGAGAAGGATCTCTGATTTTAAACAAGCCTCTGCCTTAGCAACATCTCAACTGTCTTTTAAGGTGGGATATTCTAAAAGGAGCATGAGGTTTTCTAGATCGACAGCTATGATTTCCCGCCTGTGAGCGATGTCTGTGTGTAGCAAGACTGTGACTGCCATCAGTGAGATAAGTGCGGCTCCAGGAAGGCACACCGCGGGCTGCCGAGAAAGGGTGGCAGCCAAAGTTCTGTGTTGACCCCGATGTTGTTTCCTCTCCCCCAGAACCCAGCCCAAACACAGAAGAAGACGGCTGCTCACTGTTTCGGGGCTTCTCCTCATCCATGCCTTCGTCCTCGTTCTCGGGATCGATGTCTTCGGCCTGAGTGATCCAGTCCAGGTAGCCTTTGAGATCCTCTTCTAGCTGCTGCTTCTCCCGCAGCTTCTGGAAATCTCCCCGGGCCTTGGCCTTCTCCCTCTCTTTGGAAAACTCTCTGGTGAGAGTGAGAGGAGGGGCAGGGCAGGAGAGCACAGAGGAGGGAACACCGAGAAGGGTCAAGGATGGAAGGAGAGATGGAGATAAGGAGAAACAAGAGTCTTAATTGCTTTGCAGGAAGAAACCTGCCCACACGCCCCTACTTTCCACAGATAGCTCCGCTAGCCAGCCTAGGTTTTGTCTACTCTCACCTCGATGGGAAGCATCCGTAAGGGGACAATCCTGACACAGGCCAGGAGAGGCTTAAGGGGATGGATGAAGTCCATCTCCCTCTTTTCCTGGATCATGATCACAGGCTTTGCTTTTTAATAACTGTTCTCCAAAGACCTGGAAACCCGTTCCAAGCAGTAACTAAAAACCTCCACCACCATTCCAGAACATGCATTTCCATCCCACCCAGTATTGAGTGGCAGTTTAAAATTCTCCCAAGGATCTCCAGGTGACACAAGGTGTTAGACCAGCAGTGTACCAAAGCCCACTCACTCGCACCAGGTCCTGAGAGCCAATCATTCATGTCTCTTCCCAACTCTGGCTTCAGGGATGTCTCACTGGTAGCTTGAGATCGGCCACGGTGGGAATATTTACACCACGGTAACTGGCAAATGCTGAAAACCAGGGCTTTCCCCCCAGATAGCCTATTGTTACATATTTACCAGTATACCACTGATTTGGGACCCAGGAGATTTAATGTCCTCAATCTCTCTTCTTATGATGAGCTCAATCTGCCACTCAGCATTCCTGGAAGGATTTTTTTTCTAATCTAGAGAAGGGTCTCTCCTACATGAAGACAAATGAAGGTTCCAAACACAAGAAAATGTCCCGGGGGCTGCCCTTTTGGTTTAAAGAAATCCAATCGGAATGGAAAAATACCTAAAATCAAGATGATATAAAAGTTAAACGATGCATTTGGTTTAAAGTAATAATGAGTAGACGTTGAAACTGGAGTGGGATTTGCTGGAAGAAGGGCCTATTGAAAAATTTCTGACACAATAACTATTTCTTTTCTACGATTCTGTCCTAATTTTCTCTCTGACTTCGAATTCACTTTCTGAGCAAGGAGGAGGCTGGCAGCAGAAGGCAATCATCAACACAGCAAATTCTCAACCCTCAAAGCAAGTCTGTGCCTTTTCTTGCAAAATAGGTATGGGGAGTATTTTTGGTTTTGACATGCAGTCTTTGGGGAATGAGGCCCTTGGTGGTGCGTGGATATGTGTATTTGTGTGTGTGTGTACATGCACAGGACATCTTGGTTAATTCTTGGAGCCATATGGTGTTTTCCTCTCTCACCAGTGAAGGCCTCGTTCAGGGCAAGAGGCTGCTGGAAGCACCTTGGAGAATTTTTTTGCTCAAGCCACACTCTAGGAAGGGCACCATGGAAGCAGGGACGGCACCACAAACCATTAGAGGGCAAAGGGCTCTACTCCTGAGTCTACTGTCCCGTGGGGCAGTTCCATCATTACCTGCACTGCCTAGTGTTTGCATTTGGCCTGTGCCACTTGGGAGCGCACTGATTTCAGCATGCACCACCTTTACGGTGAGATGGAGTTGGGGCTGGGGTGGGGCCTAGGGAACTTTTTAATTGGGAGAATGTAGGGGCTCTCAAGCTAACCAGTTCTCTTCAACTGCTGCCTTAATGATGCTCTGGTTTGGATTGAATTTTCCTCTTAAATTTGATTGAATCCAATTCTAATTGGATTGAACTTACTGCTTCTTGGGCTTCCTGCCAACCAGCGGGTACCTTCATTTCCTTCCCAGGGAGTTTTATGCTAGGGAAAAGCAGACAGATTGACAGCTCACAACGGAGAGGGAAGCTTTGCTCCTTCCCTGTTGGGGATGATCATAGAGAGATGCCATCCCCTCTCCTCCTAACCTTTCATCCCCTGTACCTGGTTAAGCCTCCGGGGCCTTAGTCTTGCTCCTGGAGACAGTAACCTCATCTAGCATTTTCCTCCTTATGCAAATCAACTCCAAAAACTGTGTTTCAAGGCCTCCTCTCTTGACTGTCTTTCTGTCTACCTCCATTTGCACCCCTCTGGGGTGGGTTTGGAGTTGCAAGGGGCTGAACTTCATAGTCCCTTGTAAGGGCTCACTTCGGTTCTTTTAGGTGACTTTGCAGAGGGTTCAAGTTCTGGTTACAAAACACCTACCCATCCTTCTTTTGGAGTTGGGAGAAGAGGACTGGGACTCAACTGGAGCAGGGACAATTGGCCCAATCCTGTTTTACAGCATCAGCCCTACGGAATGAAGCTCACCATCTATACCCCAAGGTCTTTGGGGATCTAAAATAAACATCGAGGGGGAGAAATAGAACGTGAGGTAGGCTGCTGATTCTGCTTGGCTTGAAGATAATTTTCCTTATAGAGGAGGGATGTGTTTTGGGAGTGTGAGAGGGATGGAGAAGGGCTTTAGTCAGATCTGGAGCATGGCTGCATCCCATGGAGTGTGAGGCACAGCCAGGCTTGAGGCTGGATGGAAGGTGAGCCAAGGTTTCCCTCGGCAGTCCCCACACAGGAAAGGATCTGTTGGTGGCAGTGCCTGGCTCTCTTTATCTCCTTACCTGGATGCCAGCCATGTTCCTGCTCTGGGGACTGAGCTAATGAAGACATGGAGCTCCAGCCTGACAGGCTGCACCAGGCCCAAGGACTACAGCCGACAAGACAGTCAGTCACTGCTGTGGGATTTGTCATGAGACAGGACTGCGTCTCTCGCCAGCAATGGCCAACATGAAAAACGAGGGGTGGTGTGGAGAGCCGGGGGCCAGGGCTCAGCGGCGTAAAGCACGCAGGGGGCGGTGTGTGTGGAATCCAACCAACAGCCCGAGGCGTGCTAGGCCCTTCCATCGTCGATATCGCCCAGGCTCCTTATTTGTGGATCCCACATCTACAAATGCGCCTACTCACTAAAATGTGTTTGTAACTCCAGAACCAATACTCGTGGCACTTTTAGTCACCTGCAGACGTGCAAATGACAAAAACTCTACGTGTTCCCGCTGAGGCCAAACAAGGGGACATGCAGAGTTCTGCCTTCCCAATTCGGCCCTCACACTATGAGGTGTCCTTTTCACCGTCCACTTAGTGCCATGTTGTCTCATTTTTGTGCTTTTTGTTGGTGATTTTGCTGTTTAAAATGGCCCCAAGCATCATGCTGAAGTGCCGTCCAGTGTCACTATGCGCAGGAGGGCCACGACGTGCTGCACAGAGAAAACACGTGCATTAAGTAAGCTTCACACAGGCGCGAGTTACACTGCTGGTGGCCACGCGTTTAATGTTAATGAATCAATCGTATATATTAAATAAAGTGTCTTTAAATAGAAACACACTTAAAACAAGGTTACGTATTGATTGGTTGACAAAATGTGAGCAGAGGCTCACAGGAAATAACTCTGTGGTTCCCCAGGACTAACGTCTCAGTGTTCACTACTTCATGTTTGTGGTGACTTCATGGAACGTAACCACCATGAATAAGGGGCACTGTTACGTTGGGCCATCTCTTCTGCTCCCACCCACAAGGCCCGTGTGTCCTGACGTTTCATTGCTTTCTTCTGGTCCCAGATACTGTGTCTTAACTGTGGGGCCGTGGACCAGTGGTACTTCCCGGCTGTAAAATGCCTACCTCCGGGGGTTCTCTGCTTTTTGGGGACAAGACACGCCCAATTCCCAGTGGGAAAGGGATGGGATGACTACCTATGTAAGAAATCGTGGGCCTCTTGCCAACCAGAGGTGCACTTCCCAAGCCCTCTGTTTGCAATCGCTTAAAAACAAGAAGTAACCGGAGTCCAGAGTCCAGAGGCTTCCACCTCATTACAGCTTCAAGGGCAATTTCAAGAATCTCATCATCACTGTTGTAGACTTTACTTTAGTCGGCTGGAGATTGAGCTTTCTGAGGGGAAGTAATCATAATCGGATTATTATCTATACAAGCACCAGCCCTATGTCTCGCATAGGGTTAATGTGAGGACCATCAGATAATGAAGTATTTAGAAAAAATCCTTTAATTATTCTATTCTTTATATTGACTCTATCTGGCCTCATCAGAAATAGGTGTTGTGGATGTGTGCATGCTCCAGATAGAAGAGGTCTCACCCTCTCAGGGCCAAAGTCTGAATTTCCATTAAAACATTTTTTTCTTTTTTACTTTTAGAGACAGGGTCTCGCTCTGTCACCCAGGCTGGAGTACAGTGGCACGACTATGGCTCACGGCAGCCTCAAACTCCTGGACTCAAGTGATCCTCCCGCCTCAGCCTCCTGAATACCTGGGACTATAGGTGCTGCCACCACGCCCAGTTAATTAAAAACATTTTTTTGTTTAGAGAGAAGGGGTCTCACTATGTTGCCCAAGATGATCTCAAACTCCTAGCTTCACATGATTCTCTTGCCTCAGCCTCCCAACGCTGGGATTATAGACATGAGCCGCCATGCACAGCCCTGAATTTCCACACTTTAAATGGAAGCTTTATGGAGTCATCTTCTCTACCTTCACGAGCAGAACATACCAAGCACCATCCAATCTTTCCTTAGTGACTGAAGGACATGATTTATGAGGATGAGTGACTGCGCTGGGCTATAAAATCCTATTATCCTTAATTGCTGGAATGTAGGGTTTCACACTCTTCCCAGTCCCAGAAGGCTCCAAGACTGCAGTGCTATTCAGTTAGTGGCTTCGCTCTCTTTCAAGGGCCATGAAGATCTGCAGGGCTGCCTGCCCCTCTGCTAAACAGCCCTGCCCTGCTGCAGGCCTCTGGGCGGTTGCCTTTGCAGCTTCCTGCTGGGATTCTGTGTGCCTGCTGGCTGTTTCCCGCAGCCTGTGCCGATTGCTTCTGTGCCTGCCAGCTCACTCCTCTCACCCTTCCTACTGCAGCTTCTGCTCTTCCCCTCTCCACTTCTCGCCTGCCATTTAAAAGCATGGGATGGACCCGTCCCATGGATTTGGGGAGAGTATACCACAGAGGCCAGGAATAGAGGCCATGGATTCACATTGCTTGGGCTCCGCTCTGCATCCTGTATTTTTCACTTGCTGGAACTGAGGTCGTTTCGGCTGCTAAGCCTCACTTGCCTTCTCTGTAGAATGGACACAGGAATAACCCCAGCTCACTGAGTTGCCATGGGCATTAACTGAGTGAATCTAGCAAAAGCGCCGAGCACAGAGCCTGACACAGAGAATGTTAGGGACTGTTAATGCTGTCACTGTGACAGTCAATTTCATGGAGCTGTGAGACCTTTTTGAATGCTTCTGGAAGTGTAGCTTAATCAGAAGTCTGATGAATAAGTGGGCGTTTGACTGCATGGTCAACTACATCTGCACCCAGTAAGTGGGTGACTATTCTACAGTCCTGGCTAATCAAGACTGACTGGAAACCGTTGCTTCTGAGTGGTCAGCCAACAGAAGCCTGATTCCAGCTTTGGCACTGCATGGGGCGGGCGGGAACCAATTCAGAATGGCCAGCCCTTGACACATAAGGAAAGGCCTCCTTAAACCAGAAAGGGGAGGTGCTCACCCATACATGCCTCTTTGCTCTACAGAGCAGACCCTTGGCCAAGGAAGCCTTGGCAGATGTTCTATCAGTGATTCGGGAGCTGCAAGGAGCAGATGGCAGCTCTCAGAACGGGTCAGGAAAGAAAGGTTGGGGAAGGTCTCCGGGGAAGACCAGCATATAGACTCAAAGACTCCTAAGTTCAGAGGTCAAATAGCCTTAATGTTCTTGTTCTGAGTCAACCAACATTTCTGAGTATTACTAAGCTTCAGGTTTGGGGTGAGGTGTCTAAACACACTCTAGCACATTTAGGCTGAGTCAGCCAAGATATGGCCTTCAAAGTGGCTTTTTCTCCAACATCAGCAGCTTCTGTCACTTGACTTCACTGCTTTGATTCCACCAGGAAGAATACTCCTCTGGGGGGCCAAGAGTGACTGTGGACAGACGCTCTGCTCAGGGAGGACCCTCAGGGTCCAGCCCTCATTCTCCACTTCAGGCTCTTGGCGGGGGGTTACTTGCTCAGATTTGGTTCCCAATCTCCAGGGGAAGAAAGTGGAGTTACATTCATTTAAAAGTCTTGAGCTGTGGCTTGTGTTGCAGTTCAAGCTCATTCATCGTAGATCTCATGGGAGGCGGTGCCTGAGTGCTGGCTCTGATTCTGCTGCTTACCAGGGAAGTGACGCTGTACAAGTTGCTTAACATCTCTGGGCTCATGTTCCTCATCTTTACAAGGAAAAGCATTTCTAACATTTGATGATTCTGTAATTCCAGTTATAACAGGCACCAAGTAAATAATAATCATTGTAATGATAGCACCATTATTGGGCCCTTACTATGTACCACTGTGTTAAGTATTCTGAAAATGATCTTATCCTATCATCACAGCCACCTATGCACCGGAATTATCACCTTCCCGTTTTCAGATGGGGAATCTAAGATTTAAAAAGGTGAAACCACCCAACATTATGCACCCAGCCAGGGCAGAGCTGGGATGTCTCAATTTCTGCTTTGATTCAGGGTGATGAGGTTGATTTTTTCAATCCCTTCCTTGGAGATTCACAAATAAACACAGGGGCATTTTCTTGTGTTTGAACATGAAACTGAAAACCTCTCTACCTTCCAGGCAATGAATCCGAGACTTACGTTGTTCTGCTCATCACTGATATCCCTGATGGAAGGCACTAGTCTCCTGTGTGGCCTCACCTTGGAAAAAGGCATTTTGTCATCAAGGTCTCTATCGGGCCACTCTCCGTGGGAGGTGGAAGGGCTGGGAGGAGACTGTTTCCTCTACGCAGCTCTGAAGGCCAAGCCCACTGCTCTGCACTGCATTAGGGCAGCTGTAGGAGCTGGGAGTAGCTGTTCCCAGCTTATGTACTGGGGAAAAGTGGGGCACAATCTTTCTCTTTATACCTAAATTTCTCCCAGCATTAACCTCTCTAGATATTTAGGAAAGACTGCAAAGCAGCTGACCAGTCTCAAGCAGAGTAGAAGTAGATTAACCCCCTCCCCCAAGTGGCAAAGGCAGCAGAGTGGTCACCCATGAGCCGGTCACCAGGAGCATTTAGGTGTTAGGCCTTGGCATGGCTGGTGTGGACTTCTGAAGAAGAAAGTGGGCTGGGGAAATATCTCATGCGTTTCCATGATGAAAAGCTCCTTGACCTTCCAACCACATGCTACTTCTACCACGGGCTCTCGCTATGTTGCCCAGGCTGCAGTGCAGTGGCATGATCATAGCTCACCGCGGCCTTGAACTCCTGGGCTCAAGTGATCCCCCCGCCTCAGCCGTCTGAGTAGCTGGGACTACAGGTGTGCACCACCATGCCCAGCTACTTCTACCACTTCTAATTTCATGTGAGCAAGGGCTGAAATTAGGTAGATGTGATACTTGCAGCCGACTAGATAAAGTTAGAGGAAATTGTACCCTCTCTCTTCTATTCTTAAATAATCTATGGCTTCAAACAGTTAAGGTTCCTTTCCGTTCAGAAAAGGAAAGTCAGAGATAGACTGCTCAGTCTATGAATTAAAACGGAAGAGAATTAGATGTTGAGTCTGTCTTTGTTTATGTTTTAAACCAGTCTCTTCTTACCCAGGCCTGTTCACCAGAGGCCATGAAGGCACAAGGAGAAGGGCACTGCCTGCCTGGACAGCTACCTGAGGCTGGGAGGGGCTGGCTGGACCCAGTTTTTGTGGTGAAGCCAGCTCTCCTCCACTGTCCACCACCGAGACCAGTGGCCCATCTGACCCTTTACCCAGCCAGGACAAGGACAGCCACTTCAAGGCTCCTGTGGTGACCCCTTATCCCAGGTTCATCAGAGCCAGAAGAAGAACACAGCCAGGAATAGCAGAAAGAATAAATACAAATAAATGGAAAAATCAAGACCTTTTTCCTTGGTCCTGCTTACCCGCTAAGCACACCGAGAACCAAGTTAAGTACAAAAAATGACCCTATGATGATTAGTGTAACAAAATAGATCCAGGGCCAGTCCCTTCCTACGGCATCATTGACCTGGAAGAACGGAATGATAGTTAGTGAGGCACACTCAGCAACCGAGCACGGCCAGTGCCGGTCCCCGGCTCCCGGGACACTGACCCACGCAGCGCCGGGACCCGGGGACCCTCTAGGTGCAAATCAGAGGCCAAACAGCCTGCCCGGCCAATGGGTCAGAATTTGTGGTTGGACGGACACTTTGTGGTGGTTTTCCTGGGCCTGTCAGGGTCCCGTTCCTGAGGACCCTGGACATGTATGGAGTGGAACCTGAGACCTTGCTCGGCTGCGTTGTGGAGAGGACATAGAAACGGTCAGCTTACCCGCTCAACACACCGAGAACCAGATTTAGAACGAAAAAGGATCCAAAGATGACCAGACTGACAAAATACACCCAGGGTAACTCATAGCCCATAGCGTCCTGCATCTGGAAAGACGAAGGAAAGTTAGGAAAGAAGCAGCAGAATCGGGTTACAGCAAAGAGGCAGGCAGCAGGTGTGAGCAGATCGGGAGGAGACAGACGGGGCTGAATGTGGGCTTTGTTCATGTGCCCCAGGGTACCCATGTTACCCGGGGCATCACCCATGTTCAAAGGACCTCCTGTGACCGAAGGGGACCTCGGCCGGCCCTGCCTCAAGAGGAATCACTCTCTCTCTCTGTGGTTTTATTTTCTGAAAAAGAAACATTTCTCCAATGTTTTCTATTCACTTGTCTGGGAAAATGGGTCACCGCAAAAATTAACTTCTTCAGCTGGTTTTAGCTCACTTGGGTTTGTGTGGACATTAAGCCTTTCGTTGCCCCGGGAGGCCCCTGACCTTGGTGTATGAGGTGCGTCAGCTCCTCAACTGATAGGCTGGAGAACCGAAACCTCAGAGGAGGTGTGAGGAAAGATAACCTTCCTTGAGGGCTTGCCACCTGGACCATGGGCCAAGCCCAGAAGTTAAGAGGCTAAACCCCAGTGCTTCACACATACTGCGGGCCACCGGCTGGGAGAGGCAATCATGTTGGTTTATGTATTCAGAGGAAGGTCCTGTGACTGCAACCACAGCTTAGATGGATATGGTCCTTAACGTGGGAACTGACTGTAACTAACACCCTGAAAGGTCACAAACCCTTACAGCAGCCGGAGGCAGTGGTGCGCTGGAGCTGGCTCCTGGGGGCTGTGGGGAGCTTACTGTGCACATTTCTTCCCAGCTGCGTGTGCAGCGACCACACTAGTGGCTTGAAACTGACCATGGTGGGAGTATTTACACCACAGAGATAGGCAAGCAATAAATCAGCCCTCTGTACCCGCTTTCTCTAAGAAGAGATGCTTAAACATTTATTAGCTCACCACTGGCTGGAGGGGGGACGTGCAGATACATTGCAGAGCTATGCTTCCATCAGAGGAAATTTATTCTGATTTAGTTTCTCAAATCTCTCTCTTCTGATGCTTTTTGACTACACAGGGTTAAGTTCTGGCTTCCTAAAAATGAACCCCACTTTGTCCTTGTGATTAGCTCATAGAAACCCAAACTTCCAAGGCACACAGGCATCCTGAATGAGTCACATCAATGGATCTCCAAGTGTGGCCCACGGACGAACAGCCTCAGCGTCATCCGGGAACCTGTTCAGAAATGCATATACCTAGACCTCACCCGGACACTGTGGGGGAGGCCCAGCAACCCGCGTTTTGACAGGCCCTGCAGGTGATTCTGATGCACGCCTGAGCACCACTGACCACACTGTTCTCTCTAGAGCTCCAAACTTCAAATGCAACAACACAAGTGTTGTGGCTCGTCATGTACCTCCACAAGGTTGCATAGCAGTGTTCCTCCAAGTGTGGTCCGAGGACCACCAGCATTAGAAACATCTGGGAGAGTTATTAACAAAGCAGACTCCTGCCCCACGGCCCCAAGATCTCAGAGTGGCCCACAGTCTGCATATTAACCTCCCCAGGCGATTCTAGGCTGTACTCAAGTTAGATAACCACCCCACGATTTCCACCCAGGGGCCTCAAAGGAGTTCAGGCAGGTGGGATACTAATGCCCTCAGCCCTTGGGCTTCGCAGCTTCAGCAGCCGCTTGCATTTGCCTAAGTACGCTGGATAAACATGTTCTCTGCATGCAGGGAACAGAAGACTGAGAAGTACCGAGACACCCAGCTAGTCTGACTGGTATGAAGTGTGACATCCCAATACGTTCTTTACGGATCCGTTCATATATATCTGATACTACTAAATTTTGGTTAGGAAAATTCACCCAACGTAATCATTGTGCATAGTGCAAACATCGCATCTGGGGGTCTTTGTCTGAGGGACCCCCATGTTCATGGGGAGAGAAGATGCCCAGCATGTGCCCACTTGGCCGTGCTGTTGCGAAATTCAATCGAACGTGGGTTTACTGAGCGTGCTCATGTTCCCGCGTCTGGTCTGCTTTCCCAGAGCGCTTCCCACTTGGTATCATTACCTATTTATTACGTTTATTATTTGCTGCTTGTCTTCCATGCTAGAATGTGAGCTCCCCGAGGACAAGTGGTTTTGGCCTGCTTTGTTCACGGGTCTACCCCAGGTGCCTACAAGCGTGCCTTGCACATGGTAGGTCCTCAGCTAATGCTCTTTGAGTGAATGAGTGAACCTGATATGTGCTAGGCACTGTGCTGGAAACACAAAATCCTTGCTAGAGGGGAGACAGGAAATGACCAGGCAGCTACAGTGCAGGCTGGCAGCTGCTACAGCAGGAGGAAGCGTGCAGAGTCCCAGAAGGCTTCCACCAGTGGAAGAGTGGCTGCGTGAGGCTGAGCGGGGCAAGGGCCAGGCTCAGCAGGCCTGTGTCAACCTTGCACTGCACAGCCACTGAAGGCAGTGGAGACAAAGGGCAGGAAGGAAGCCCCAGAGTCCATGTGGTCCTATGATAGCAACGGAGGTTTGCAGAAGTTGGCAATTGTTAAAAACAGAGCCTGTGGCTGTAAAGCCATCCCGGCTGCAGGATGGAGGATTCTCCCAGTGGCTGAACTCCTAAAATATCCAGCAAAACAGCAGCTGTTAGGAGAGGCAGGGTGAAAGGTCCTTGTGTCTCAGACCCTGTCCCCATCCCAGGGAGCCTGGGAGCTTTCCTGTAGCCAGAAGGTAACTGTCTGAACCAAGAGTGCAAAGGAAACCACGCCAGACTTCATCACCAGGAGAAGAAAAACAAACCCGAGCCAATAGAGGATGGGGTGGGACCGGTGACATGAGATTAGGGAGAGAAAGGCAGGAGAGCCCCAAGAGCTGCCTGACCACAGACCACACCGACAGCCTTGCTGGCCATGATGGGCTGTGGGCTGCAGGTCCCATTTGACCATGGGAACTGTGAGGTCATTCTTTGATTATTCTTAGCAGCGGTCACATCAGAGTCCACATTTGTTCAACAAGTATTTACTGAGCGCCTCCCTGTGTAAGGGTTCTGTTGTGTATTGGACTCTTTGCTACAGTGAGAGCAATGGGGTTGAGACAGCCCTGGAATAGGAGTCCCAGGCACCTGCCAAGGAAGAGGGAAACCTGGATCCAAGGTCACGGGGAGCCTGTGGGTGTCCTTGTAGCTTTTCCTCTCTCAGAGTAAATCCTGCTAAGGAGAGTCAGAAGCAGTCCCATTCTTTTCCTCTAAATGACTCTACTGCTTTACTTTTTTGAAAGGGTGGGGTGGTCAGGAAAAGCTTTTAAGAACTATGGACTCCCACCAGAAGTAATGCACACTGCACACACACAGCATCCTGCAGACGGCCTCGAGGGCACACGGACACCCCGAAGCCTGAGCAGGACCCCGTGGTATGGACCCACTCCAAACGACTGGCCTGTTCTGTTCGACCCCGGAGGAGCTTTCCCCAAGTGTGCTTCAGGGGATGGGGAGTGGCAGAGGAGGTCTGTTCTTGGCAAGCTCCCTTTGCTCCTCTCTAGATAATAGACCCCACCTTCTTCAGGACACGTAGGAGCAGCCAGTTCCAGGAGGCCACGGCGTGCTCACCACGGTTCCCCTCCCAAAGCTGCCTCTGGAGCCTGGGCAGATGGCAAGTGGGAGTTGGGCTTGATGGCGCCCAGGCAACTTCCTCAAAATGAAATCTTTCCTCACTGGTTCCTCACACCCCTTACATTTTGTGAACATTTAACCTCATGAAAATGCAGCCTTGGAGGCCACACAAACCCACAAGCCTTGGAGATTTCCTAGGGCCTGAGCTTAGTCTGGGAATCCTTCCCTCTGTGCCACACACAAGGTGAGAGGCTTCCAGCATATGAAGGACTTCAAAGGGGGGGCTACAGACCTCAAGGTCATGGCCCCACAGACAGCCAGGGCCATAAGAGGAAACCCATGTGTCCCCCTTGCCATCCCACACTTCTGCTTTGGTCCCTCCTGGGCTGTGGGCTGGTTTTTTAGAGCTTCGAGATGGGGAACAGCAGGCGAAGGCAGGAGGCAGGAGGACAGACAAGACATGGAGATGGATGAGGCCAGTGTGGTCCTCAGAACCCCACCGCCTGGGTGAGCAATGCTCGGCCGCCACAGAAGGTGATTCTCTGACCTGCCTGGCTCTGGTCTGAAAGGAAAGTTCTCCTTTTGTTTCCCTTTTACTTTCTCCTCTTTATTCTGGGCCACCTACTTTTGGGGGCTGGCTGAGTAGAGAGCACACAAAGCTGGGTGGCTCTGAAGTAGGGCGATGCCTGGAGTCATGAGATTGATGTCCTAAAGCAGCTGAAATGGAGCTATTAAGAAGACAAAGAATAAGTCAGATTTTTTTTTTTTAAATGACCCAGATTGCTGACACCCTTATTTAGAGGTGAAATAAAGGATAGGTCTTCTAGAGCCATTAGGCCCTGTTCCTCGGGTCTCCTGACTTTCCAAAGAAAAGTCAGTTCATTGTCTGTAGCCTTGAGTGCCTCCAGGCCCAAGTACTGGCAGGACGGCCCCTGCCTTGGCCGAAACAGCCTCACTACAAAGGGAGGGAATTGAATGAAAACTACTACCAAAGAACCTTCGGAAAC